CTGTACCGTATGGTAAGGTAACATACTGCACTGCAGTGCAGACAGCAAGGCCACACTCACTCAATGTAATAGGGTTCCCCACTGTCGCTGAAGGCCATCTCCCAGTTTTCGGGGAGACCTGCCCCCCCATTCTCCATGGTGCTGCCGTCGCCCCCGCTGGAGTCGCGCGACTGGCTGGGCGAGAGGCCGGGAGGAGCCCCGCTGCTCACCCCGAGAGAGCCTCCTGCGCAGACACAGGGAGCAGGCACGCGAGTCACTGGGATCGCATCTCCTCCATCCCCCTGCTCTTCCTCACTCCCCTCTCCCCCTACATCTCCCTCCTCTTACTGACAATCCATCACCTCTCCTCCCTTTCCCTCTCCCTCCTCTTCCTCACTCCCCTCTCCCTCCTCTTCCTCAATATCCCTCTCTCCTCTTCCCCCCCTATCTCTCCCCCTCTCCCCTTCATCCTCCTTCCCTCCCTCCTCTTCCTCACTCTCCCTCCTCTTCCTCCCTATCCCTCCCTCCCTCCTCTTCCTCACTATCCCTCCTCTTCCTCCCTATCCCTCCCTCCTTCCTCTTCCTCACTCTCCCTCCTCTTCCTCCCTATCCCTCCCTCCATCCTCTTCCTCACTATCCCTCTAATTCCTCTTCCTCCCTTTCCCTCCCCCTCTCCCCTTCATCCTTCCCTCCCTCCTCTTCCTCCCTATCCCTCTCCCTCCTCTTCCTCACTCCCCTCTCCCTCCTCTTCCTCCCTGTCCTACCTGACAGTCCCGAGTCCTCCTCGCTGTTCTCCCCCTCCTCTCCGGTCTTCTCCAGGTTGCTCAGTGACTTGCTCCGGGTGCGGAAGTTCCTCAGCAGGTTGCGGTGCTCCTGGTAGGTGATGGGGGGGCTCTCGGGGCCGATGTGCACAGGGCGGGGGGTCCCGTAATAATTCCCTGAGCGACACAGGGGAGACACAGACACGAGCCTGTCGGTTTGAGGACTGGACTGGACTGGACTGGGTTACTCTGGACTGGACTGGAGTTGACTGGAGAGGGCTGATCCAGACACGCAGGACACATGTGGTGACCAGGATTCTCCCAGCAACAGTAGGATTTCCTCGCCTGCTGGGGCACACTGGGGCAGCAGGGGGAGGGGGGGTTCATCGGTCAGCCCGAGTGATTAAAACTCTCCGACTGCAGGCGGCCGCACGGACATGAGGGGTGTGTGGCGGGGAGCACGCTCGAGGGGACAGGTGCAGCCCTCCAGCTGTCCATACATCTGTCTGAAACACCAGCAACGCGACTCACGGGGCTTCGCAGGCTTAGCAACGGCCAGAGATGAGGGTTCAGTCCCTGCTGACAGAAACTCCACTGCAATAGGGCTGAGGGACAAGGCTGAGCTACACAGGCCCTGCGGTTGTGTCAGCCATCGGCACACACACACCTGCACTTTCACACACACTCACACACATTCACAAACACACACACACACCTGCACTTTCACACACACCCACCCTTTCACACACATTCACACACACCTGCACTTACACACACACACCTGCACTTTCACACACACTCACACACACCTACACTTTCACACAAACACATTCAAACACTCACACACACTTTCACACACTCACAAACACCTGCAATTTCACAAACACTCACACACATTCACACTCACATACACCTGCACTTTCACACTCACATACACCTGCACTTTCACAAACACTCACACATACCTGCACTTTCACAGACACACATTCACATACTCGCACACACACTTGCATACACATTCACACACGTTTACACACATGCACATACACTCACATGCTCACACACAGTAAGTGTGGGCAGAAAAGCCCCTGTGGGGATTCTGGTTTTCATCTATTTTCGTGTTCCTTTCTGTAATTCCTGCTGTCGAACAAGAGACTCTAACCCCTGATCTCCAGGAGGACACAGGAGATTACTGAGAAAAGCAGCTTTTCTCCAGGAAATGAACCCAACAAGTAAAACACAAACAACCACAACACACACAAGCACAACACAAGTAAAGCACAAACAAGCACAACACACACAAGCACAACACAAGTAAAGCACAAACAAGCACAAATCACACACAAAGCACAACACAAGTAAAGAACAAACAAGCACAACACAACAAGCAGAACAAGCGCAAGCACAACACTAACAAGCACAGCGC